TGTCCTCGGCCGCCTCCAGCTTGCGCAGCTCCACCAGGCCGTCGCCTGCCGTGGCCAGGGAGTTAGCGATGAGCAGAGCTGCTTGGGAGTCACCCTCCGCAGAGATGATGGCTGCCTGCTTCTGCTGCTCAGCCTTTTGGGGAGGAGGATGACAGCAAGGGGTCGGGCCAGAGCTCTCATTTGGGAATCAAGTGTCCAGAGCCAGGCTTATGTAATCATTATATTAATGATAAATTATACACAGCGATGGTTAATAAGTCAGCTGACATCTTTCCAAATTTAACAAGCTTGCGAACGGCAGGAATGACGTGGCAGACCTGGAAATGGCTGCCTTGAATATCTGACCACCCACACAGTTTAGGACTTTACTGTAACACTTGTACAACCACGGACTGTATCCCTGACACAGTTCTGTAAGCCAAAAGAGTTTTACCTGTTGGATTCTTCGGAATTAGGAACTAGAGTTAAAATGTCCCTGAGAACAGGGCCTCTCCCAGTTGTTGTGTACCCCGAGCACCGTCTCTCTCGCATGCCAGAAAGCCGCCAGTACCTTCTCCACAACGAACCGCGCCCTCTCTGCTTCCTGTTGGGCCACCTGTTTCATTTCCACAGCTTCTGTGAACTCCTTCCCAAATGTCAAGTGGGTCTGTGGGAAGGGGGTGGGGGGGATGTCAACACTGAAGCTGAGGTGTCACTGAAACGCCGCCTTGGATCAGCACGTCTGGTCGGAAAGGCAACATACCAATGAGACATCATCCAGAATGAGGCCAAAGGTGGAGGCCCTTTCTGTCAGGTCCTCGCTGACTTGCCTGGACACCAGCTCTCTCTGGGTAATAAGCTCTCCAGCATCAAACCTAGCCTTTAGAAAACAGAAAGGCACACACACACACACACACACACACACACACACAATAAATTCATCACTGAAGAAACATCTTGCCCATTTCAACCCAAGCTCATTAGCATCATTCATGGCTGAGAAAGGTACGGAGAGCCACGTCCCCTGTGCGTCACCAGCTGCAAAAACCCACCCCTCCCACTCAGGTGCTCACCACCACAGACTTGAGGACCTCTGTAGTAATGGAAGGCAGCACCCTCTCGTCGTAGTCCTCCCCGATGCTGGTGAAAATACGTGGCAGCTGGCTGAACATTGGCCGGAAGAGGATGCGCAGCGTGATGTTCACGTTCTGCAGATCTGTGGAGGACAGGGATGGCAGGCCGTGAGGAGGAGGTAAGGAACCGTTTCAGGGACCAAAGCCAGAACTGAATCAAGCCCAATGTATCGGTAATTGTGCCTCATTCAAAAAGACACCTGAGACAGGTTTTGGTCAAGGTCTGGATAATTAAATTGCCTAATTCATTGTATAATGTTTTATATTATAGTCGATGCAGGAATGACACACAACTGGTTGATTTTTACTCACTAAAGCACCAAGGTAGAAAATGAAAGGAGCACAAGTGTTTAACAGGACAGGAATGAATGCATGGTGAGTGTTCCTGGCTGCTGCCTAACAGACATATTGGCTGGGAGATTGACCACACACACACACACACACACACACACACCTTTACTGCCGGTGATCACAGGGACGTTGCGGGGGCGGGAGCGGCAGTCAAAGATAATTGGTTTTTGCACCCAAGGAATGACAAAGTGGGTACCCTCGCCCACCACAGTCTCCTGCACCCCCCGAAATCTGTCGAAGATCACAGCCTGATGGCCAGCATCCACTGAAACATATTTTTAAAAACATCATACAAATATTATATGATGCACACCTTGTTTTAAATGTTTATGGTCACATCTTAAATATGTCGATCAAACACAGGATACATACTGGTAAGATCACTTCTCTTAACTTCTGTTATTTTTAAAGCAAAAACCAACCTCTCCAGGGTTCTAAATGAGCATAAAGAAATTTCTCTGCATTCTCACCATTGTAAAGCGCAGAGTTCACCACCCCACCGCCAATAGCCAGGGCCAGACCCAACTTCCCAAGGGACTCAAACAATTTTGCCATTCTGACTAGCAGCTCTGCAAGGAAAGGGAACATCGCACGGTTAACTACAGAAACTTCACTGCACAGTGGCAACCCTGAACACACTTCAAAATCAACGTATCAGTCAAAATTGAAACATTTTCTGCCTATATGTAAACATTTATGTGATAATTACAGTGAGTGACACAATCTTGTTTTAAAATCCACACTGGATTAACATAAAAAGGAAAAATAGAAAGGGCACATTACCCTAGGCAAAATCTTTGTACATCGTATTTTTTCCAGAATTTAGGAATACAAAATTACGCCCTACCTCTCACATGTTTCGTAAAGTCAAGGACAAAAATACAGCTTTTAACCGAGATCTTCGGGCTTTACTTTACCGAAAACCGAAACGAGCAGACACGACTATCTAGCTACTTTAATATAAAATCTAACTGTAACTGCAGCCTGGCCTTCGATCCCTGTCCGCCACCTGCAATCGGCCTGCACTCCGTCTTTGGGTTAATCACACACGCTGGCGCTTAGCTAGCAAGCGCCGACTCAGATAACGTTTTACTACCAGTTACCGAACCTGTACCACACACACACACTCGCAGTTATCACTGCATGATGCGACTTTTCAGCAAAACGGTATTTTTAAAATGTATAGATAAATCTTAAAAGGCCATGCTGCCAGTTTTCGCTAGACTGCCATATCTATGCATAAATATCGGAAAGTTGACAATTCAGTATATTTAAATAGATTTCTCAGTTTAAACTCCATTTATGAGATATGAACAGCATATACAATTTACGATTGCGCTTCATTCTGTGACAAATAAAACCAAATTACCTATTTTATACACCGGTCGGATCCTTCGGTATGACCTCCAACAGACTGCTAGGTACTGGCTCCAACGCACACATTGAATAGTCCTTAGCGCATGCCCACCAATTTTAACAATCTCTTTCCTGATTGGCTCGATTCTGCTGCAATAAACATACCGGGATTTGTAGTTTTAATGTCGCCATTGTCACTCCAGAATTCCAGCTTGCTTCTGAAGCGTTATGTTAAATACATAGGTATTTCAATTCAAATAAAATCATACTAATATATAAAAACACTAAGACTTCCCCCAGACCTTCCTATGCTACTTTATAAATCTTGTATCGTTAAAAATGTACCACCCATCTATCTTCCAATTGCTTATCCTGAAAAAGTAATACACAATTGAAATGTGCTGTCATCTAGACCAAATAGGTTATCTATCCATCTATTTTCTGTAAAATAGGTTATTTTATATTTCTCACAATGCTAATGGTCAACGATCGAAAATCACGTCCAAAAAAAGACTCATTCATCATACGGCAAAATATGTTGGAACAAAATGTTTAACATTTTACATTAGGCCTATGTGATGATTATATGAAGGTATCAAATGCACCCTACTTCTAATATACTTTATTCCAATGAGTGGATATAAAGAAAAATGAATAAATACAGAGTCAATAATCAGAACTATCCATTATTTTAGACAAGGAAGAAGCACAAAGTCCAAAAATAGAAAGAAATGCAATGCAAGCTGTCCAGCGCACATCATTTTGTAGTAAATATCACACCGTGGAAATTGTTCATTTGAAAGATAATTTACAAAAGTCATATAATCCTTATTCTAAAAAGACGGGCTAAGCCTAAACATAACCTAACATTAACACGCGAATAACACCTTCCCACGTCTCTGAACTATACGCCATCTAGCGTTTCAGAAGAAACAACGCATACAATCTTGTTTTACTTTCTCTTTCTTGAAAATGTCGGTGCACGTAAACAGTCCTCATTTTGAGAAGGAAATAATAGGTAATTTGGGATTCTATAAAACTGCGTCATTTATTTGAAACATACTATAATACACGGACGCCAAAACCCCGTGAAAATACATTAAAAGATAAACTAAACTGTACTTCGTGTAAGTTTGCTGTTTTTACTTTTTTTCTTAGCATGCGGAAGATTTTGTCGTGTCAAGAAACACGGGTTGTAGCTTCGCACATTCTGAGGAAGAAAGAGGTAAATGCAATTGTTAATATTTGCATGTCAATTTTTTTCCCGAGATGTTGCATTAGAAGTTCCAGTGCATGTCTCCATTTCCAGTTAAACTAACGATGAATTGTTAATAACTAACAACGTTATTCAGTGCACGACGTAGGTTGAACCAGTGTCTTTAACTCAGTTACTATGCCTACTGTTGTCAAGGACACAGCTTATAAGCAAAGCCGTTAGACACGTTATAACAGAAAAGTAAGTATATATTAAAATACATGATAAAATTGCAGTATGTACGAGTATTGCTTTAATGTTGCATTGTTTAATTTTCTTTTCTGAGTTCAGCTGTAAATACGGCCAAACCTCTATTTGTAAGATGGAAGGAGATGGACAGACTGTCAGGGTATGTGGACTACCGACGGACATTGAGGAAGAAAAGCTAACAGATAAGCTCTACATCCACTTTTTGAGGCAGAGAAACGGAGGTGGGGAAATAGCCTCAGTCGTCACCTCCAAAGTCCATCCTGGCTGTGCACTAATTACCTTTGAGGACAGTAAAGGTCAGTTGGCAATTTGAAGAACGTCAATGCATGACTCAATAAATAAATAAATAAATACATAAATTTCAATGGGGCGGAATCCAGGATCAATGTTACCTTGGGATTATCTTATCACCAGGAAATAAAGATATTACTTACAAGTAGTTTGAGGTTAGATATGAAGTGGATTTGAAGGATCACAGCTGTCTGTTGGTGCCTGTTCATAGTAACAGTGATGGTTTTTGCAATGCAGTGGCTCAGAGGGTAGTTCAGCACGGAAAACACATCCTACTGGTTGACGATGAGAAGTACGAGCTTTCTGTGAGTCTGTTCAAGAGAAATGTGAACCGAGATGAGGTAAAACAAATCACACCTTCTTTCAAGCCATGATTCCATCACTTTACTTCTTGTGCCTTCTGGTGAATGTAAAATTCTACATGGGTGTGACAGAATAACTGGCGCGTTAGAATAAAATATGAGCGCCCTGTGAAGGATCAGCGTTATTTCACATAAAATTCAGATATTAATGTTAATTCATGTCCTTCTTTATTTATCTCTCTTAACCTTTCTGTCATCTTACTATCTCCTTTAGGTTCTTGTACAGTTACAGCTCACTGTAAACTACAGCCAGCTTCCACTGGGAAAAGGGACAGTGACCCACCTACAAAAAGGCTTCCCTAATGTGGAGCTGAAATTCAACCCTGAGAAAGAGCTTTGTACCTTGAGTGGTAGCTACTCTGAGGTTCAGGCCCTGATCAACCAGATTCTGGGCCTTTTAGAGACACAGGCACCCGGAGACACCTCTGTGCTTGGGACAGATGGACAAGTAAGCAAAAAGAACCCTGATAGTAAGGGAAAGCATCAGCACAGGAGCAGCAAAAGTCAGGAGAAGAGCACACAGCCTGGAAAAACCCTTGATTTGAATGTTGGAATATCTGGGGAAGCGAAGTCAGAGAGACTTTATTACTCTGGCCTTGAACAGGATGATTATGGGGTGCGGGCAGCCCATACAGAGGAGCCTTCACTGGAGGACTACTCCTTGGTTCTGGACTCTGACATCTTCCGCTACCTGCAGCAGTTCTGTGGTGAAGAATACATGCAGATCTTAAAACAGCACAGGGTGGAGGTTGTGGATGTTACCACCCAGGATGTCACCACGCTCTACCTGCGGGCTCTGGAGGGAGCAAAGGGTGGTTCGAGGAAGCAGCTGGACCGTATACAGCAGGTGCACGGGGAGCTGAGCCAGTTGTACCAGGAGAAGGAGATCAAGTTACGAAAGGAGCAGCTTCCCAAGAGGTGCCTTCTCACGACTGACCTCAGGGCAACTTGCAAGGCCCTGCAGCTTCTGATGCCCAAGCTGATGCTCACTGATGATGAAACATACATTTACCTTGTGGGCAGCAGCAGCGACGTCTCTGAGGCTAAACAGCATCTCCTTTACATTCGAGATTCAGAGGAAGGCTTTAAGCAGAAGACAGCAAATTACACTCAGTCAGGGGAGCAGGAGGTGAGGGATATACGTCTCTTCACCTCCACGCCCAAAACACTTGACAGCAGTGAGGACAAGCTGTACAAAGGAACCAGAGCTGTGGGAGCAGAGGCAGGTAGGCAGTACATGTTAGCTGCCAATTTCAAGGAAGTCAAGAATGAAACTGCTGGGGAAAACTGGGTAAAATCCTCACTGGATGATACATTTTCACATGTAGATACACAGAGAGATTTCTCCTCTCCTAATATAAAACAGATGACAAGTAATGAGCAGAGGTTAGGCAGTGGACGAGTTCATGATGGGGGTGGACTTAGAAAGTTACCTATCCTTCAAGGACTAAGTGATCCTGGTCAGAGTAAGCTTTTTAAAAGGACCGACTCTGCATCTGCCTCCACAAGTGAAGTTAGTTCACTCCGGACCTTGGTGCCAACCAGTGCTGTGTTACCCAATAAAGCAAAATACTTTATGGGCTCTCCTTCTACCTTGCAGAGTGACCTATTTCAGGAAAAAAGTCTCTTCAATACTGTAGCACCTTCACCGAAACTGGGAGCCCAATCCACTCTGAGAAGGAGTAACAGTTTTTCTGGCTTAGTGCGCTCTCAGCAGGATGAGAAAGAAAGAGATGCGTCAAAGGGCAACCAAAGTAAGAGTAAAACTGGAACTACTGGTGTCAGTGACAGCATAGGGAGATGGGGAATCTACAGTCTGGAGGTTCCTGTTTCAAAAGACACATGGATTTACATGAAGGATATGTATCACACTTGGGTTGAGGACATAAAGTCCTCTGTGAATATCAAGGAAGCTAAATCGGCAGACCTTTTCACTCTCGTGTTGAGTGGGACTGACCCAGAAAAGCTCAGCAACTGCCAGCAAGAGGTTAAGAAGCAAGTATCTGCTGTTTCCGCTGATTTTACCGTACAGGAGCTATCACTGACAAAGCTGGGTGCAAAAGACCTAAACATAACCTTGGAGATTTGTTGCACGGAATTGAGAAGAAAGTTTCATAAGGTAAAGATTGTTCAAAATCCAGAGACCATACATCTTTCGGGACCAAAACAGTTGTGTGATGAGGTGCATCTTAATATAATAGAGGCCTTAAGTAATGCAAAAAAAAGGAAGATGTCAAAGGAAGTGGAGATCTTCGGGGTGGATGCCAACCATACCAATTTAGCTCCCAGTCAGACTCAGCACTCCCCCCCTCAGGAACAGATCGAATTCCATAAAGACCAAGAGATTCCCTACAAAAGTGGCAGATTGATTAATGGAAGTCTACTTCGGGATTCTACCAGCAGCAGTAATACCCTGGACAGTGAAGGCACACAGAGAGAAGATGGAAGTGTGCCCAGCAGACTAGGAAAAAACAATATCCAGACATGTGATTTGGCAACCAGTCGTGGTGAAGGTAATCAGTCTGTTATGAAGCAAGATTCTGTTTTGAAGCATATGGGAAGGTATGGGAAAACAGGCAGAGCGAGCTTCAGTACTGATACACCTCAGACTCCGCTGATAGAGGGCAGCCAGATTGCTGTAGCACAGAGTGGACCAAAAGTACTGTCATCCTCTGCTTATAAGACTCAGAAGGTCTTGGGGCCAAAAGAGAAAAATACACAGGCGAACGCTCTTAATAACCACACTTGTCTTGATCCAGAAGACCAAAAAAATCCACTTTGGGAGCACTCCAAACAGAAGGATCCCAAAACTTTGAGGCGGACACACGAGGAGATCCAGACTCAGGAATATGAAAGCAAGACATGTGCATGTGGAACGAGGTTGGCTTGTGGTTTTCCCTTCTGCTCCAAGTGCCCTGTGGAGTCCCATTACACTTGCAAGGTCTGCCACAAAGGAAGAGAAGTCAGTGGCATCAGGGGCAAAATAAGGTTCCATGAGATGTCCTTCAGCTTGCCTGGACACCCAAAGGACATGACACTTAAGATTACCTACATCATTCCGAATGGTATCCAAGGGGTAAGTTTTTCCCATTAAAATAATTTTTGAAAGCCATAGCTGGAATTGCTGGGATTTTTGTCTTAACTCTTGAAGGCTATATGTAAGCAAGTAACCTTTTCATGCTTCCTGTTTGTATATAAGCTAGAAACTAGAGACAAGGTGAGTAGCATGTAGAGTACAGACACCCCCCATCCATTCGCGGGAACGGCTGTGGCCGTATTATAATAAAAACTAAAATCTATGTCTTAATGCTGGACATAGCGGCCGCTGTTTATGAAACACACGGGCAGCATTGACAGCCAATGAAGACACGGTACTGTACAGCCCTGCCTGATGTTTAAAGAATCTTTGACTATGGAACTTCTTAAAACTGACATGCTACGTCGCATGATATGTGATTGATACGTACTATGCAGGGTAAGGGTTTCATGTTTTATAAAAGATAAAGAGATAAGAATGATTGTGCATTACTGTTCTGTACTAAATGTTTTTCTTACAGCAGGGCAGAGTAGCCTAAACTTTCTAAGTGACTATGGTAATGTTTGACCAGCATAAAAATCATTTAACGTACTGTTTAACAGAACATAATGTGGATGTTATGAGAGATACCTATACCAGTCATAAGTCTGGAGACACTGAAAGTCATTTGTTTTTTAACAAGATAATGAGCCTAAGCACACCTTGTGAACAAGGAAAGAGATGGAGTACTGAAACAGGTGACCTGGCCCCCACAACCCCCCACCTAAACCATATAGAGCTGGCTTGGGGTGAGAAGGATCAAAGAGTAAGAGCAGCGTAGCAAACTTGTGCCAAAAATTTGTGGAAACTCTTTCAGAACTGTTGGAGCAATCTTCTAGGTGGCTACATCTGGCAACCGGTTGAAAGAATGAGTCTGCAATGTATCATAGAAGCAAAAGGGGGGCTTGAAGAATCTAAAATCTGAGAGAACTTTGAGATGTTTCAGCAGCTCTCTTGGTCATTGCAGTATTTGATATGTATCACTTTATTACCCTGCAGCCTTTTACTGTAAGATGAATAACATCTAAAAGAGAGACCAATACATTAAAAGCATGTTTCTCCAGGCTTTTGACTGGTCCTGTATTTACAGTGACACTGAAGTGCTACATATATTTTGAATTTACTAATTGTGGCTGACAGTTGTGTTTACTTGAACGGCCAATACATATTCTGTATCTTACCCCTTTTGCAGGAGAAGCATCCAAATCCGGGGGCCCCTTTCGAAGGAGGCACATTTGAAGCGTACCTCCCACTCAACGATCAGGTGCGGAGGCTGCGTCCACTGCTGGAGAAGGCGTTTTATCGGGACCTGACTTTCACTGTCTCTGGGGAAGGCGAGGTCGGCCAGGTCATCTGGGGCAGCATACCACACAAGACCAGTATGGAACTCAAGTCAAAGTGAGTCAGTCTATGGTTCAATGTGGTATGTATAACAACACAACAGGCTTAAACGTAGTGAGTCAAAGCTCACTGCAAGGGAGCACATGGTGAGATAAAGGCTGAGGTTTGCATTTCAGCACCATCCTCTGCTTTTCCTTTGCAGAAATGGATACCCAGACTCCAGCTACCTCAGAAAGTTAAGTGAAGTGCTGACAGCTTTGGACCTTGAAGATGGCAGAGAAAGTACAAGAAGACATGAAAAGAACAAAACCTGAATATTGTCTAACCTACATTTACTTATGTGCCTTTACATCAGTATATAATGATAGATTTCAAAATTACTTGTAATCACTTGTGAATTATGAACAGGTAATTTGATTTGTAACAATCTATTCCAATCCATGCATATCCATTACAGGCTTGGGGGGGGGGGTCTGGAGCCTATCCCTTTAAGCATAGGGTACAAGGCAGGGGTGCCCTATGGATAGGATGCCAGTCTTCTGCAGGGCATGCCACATGCCACATTTCTGTATATTTTGCAGTCTTAATTATGCAACTAACAGCTGAATGCGAAGAAGTGCATTTTTGGCAGAAGCTACCACAATGTAGAAAACCACGTGCACTTGATAATCCTCTTAGCTTTTTGTACCGCATAGTCTTCCAGGATTTTAATAAAACATAGTATAAAGACATCCATGCAAACATGAAAACTCAAAAATAATTTTCTGTTCATTTTACAAAGCTTTTGAGGAAAATATTCCGGGCTGTCAGCTTTAGTAAATAATTAAACTGATTTTTTACAGGGTGAAAATTGATACCAAAATTTTTCAATTTTGCTGGAAAATTTAGAAACAGAAAAAAACCTAATGAGGATATGTTTATATGTGCAAGTAGGACTCCTGACATATGCTGATTGTCAGTCTAATGTGGACAAGCATCAACCACTGGATATAGCCGATGTGGCCATTTGTGGATAAGCCACATTAGTGGAAGGCCCAGGTACCATGGTTTATTCATATCACTGAAGAAGCGATAACTACGTTACCTATATTTCTGCATTTATTGACATTTATTTATTTACCAAATGCTTTTGTCCAAAGCAATATACAAAGGAGGCAGCTAGAATATTACAGGAATATTCACTTTGATAGTTATAAACAGTCAGTCTTGGATGGAGTGTTGGAATTCCAAATTTTCCACAGCATGTAAGTTACACCATGCCGCTTACTCACAGCAACTACACAATCATTTCTTATATGGTGTAGTACAGTATATAACATTATCATTAACAATTTTATTAACGGTGAGAAAATGTCTATAGTATTATTGGTTGGTTTAAAAACTTGGAAATGACAAATATGTTTTTGTGGGACTGTTTTCCTTCAAGCAACAGCATTCTATCAGTGTCTGTGTAAGTAGCACTGCGGTTTCCCTTCAAGATTACGGGTTTAATTCCAATTTGTATGCATGTGTTTGTATGTTTTCCCTTTGCACTGATTTCCTCCAGATCCTCTGGATTTCTGTAAGTGTACGACATGACGGGCACGTTAGCCCATTGTCAGCAAAGCTGTCTTGCTCCACGTTGAATAAGCAGGAGGGATGAGATGGAATGGTTTTTTTGAGAGATATGCAAAGATGATCCAAACTCCGTAAGGTCCACCTGGGTTTATGTTTGGATGTGGTTCAGCCATGGCATCATTAGAAAAAACATATTTGCTGGCTGTATTGCACACATTATTCTCTGACATGCAGGCCTGAATGTAAATAAAATCTACAGGAAAATGCACAATCCTACAATTCTATTATGTAAATCCATCATCATATTCTGTAATAATAGCATTTTGTATGGTGTGTTTTTATAATAGTAATTACATTTGTATGAAGCAAAACAGAAGTGTAAAGTCTATGAAAGTTGGACTGTGATGTGGTCCTCCATGTAGAGAGAGATTGTAGTTTTTAATTTTCTACCAGGGGACAGTATAATACACATTTGATCCATTAAATAGAATAATAAATTCTAGAGGATGAAAAAGACAGAGGTTGGAATGGCTATTACTGTGTTGACATAAATATTTGCATTGTCTCACTAAAAAAGGGATGAGATACAGGGGGAGATTTTTACATACGATTGTCCAGCAGCCTTGAAAGACACTTGAGCTCCCTTAATTGTTCTTTTTGTAGGTAAGATTTCAGTTAAGGTAATTATTTACAGAAGGTTTTCAGTTGCTAATGTATGTGAGTGTCTGATCTTCAAAGTATGGTCTGGGGAAAATTCTACCAAACTGCTACTGTATAGGCTATTGGTCTAGTGCAGTATTTCCTTACTTGGTCCTCTTGGACCCGCGGATGGTCCAGCTCCTTGCCAGACAGTCTGTATTTTTGCTCATCTGAGCAAAGACGTAGACTGTCTGCGGGTCCCTGAGGACTGGATTGGGAAACACTGGTCTAATGCACATATCCAACTTGTACAAAACAATATCTTATATTTCATTTTTTGGTGCCGAACCCTCAATTGCTCCTTTAATTAAAGCACTTTACCAAAAACCTGGTATTTCTTGTAACCAAGGAAGGTGAGGATATTCTGAAGAACTATTATAGAATATTTTATCTAGGATTTAGAAGATTATTTCTGAAAGCTTAGTTTGCTGCACTCCCTCCATTATGTGTCCCTGTGAATCTGACCACCATGGGTGACCGTAAGTTTGTTGTCATGGCTGCTCTTTTGATATAGAAATGGGAACAAATAAATTCTACTAAATGACCAAACTCTCACAGCTAATGCAGAGCAGCGCTGACCTTTTGCATTTGGAGAGCATCAGCAGCAGCATTAACAAGTTATAAAATTGTTTATACTGTAATTGTTTTTGATCTTATTTTATTTCACTGTGGGTATGACTCACCAGTCAATAGAAAAGCCCTCACTATGGTAATTTATGAAGCAATTGAATATATTAAACACAGCTATTAGTTATATCAGGGATTTTGTAAAATGAGGTCAAGGTGTGGATCTTGTTGGCTCCGATCACACACACTACCCATCACCTTAGGGCTTGCAACAATATTCAAGTAGGACAGCATCATATGAAAAGCACCCAGTTACTGTGGCTGTCTGGTTAAGGACAATCCTCAAATGACAGTTACTGTTCATTGATCACTGTAATTCTCTATATCAACATCACATTTATTCACAACATTATAAGCATTTCTCATTGCTTTGACGCAAAATTCAAATGAAGGATCAATTTATGCAATTGTGCAAGTACAATTGTCTCTCTCATTCAGTCTTAGTCATGAAAATGGATTACACTGTTTTTTTGAATTTCATTACTCTCATGTATATATCATCATGCTGATTGTGTAAATACTAGCATGCAAAATATCCGCTAAGTCAAACTGTCAAACATGTATTACATGAATTGCATTGATATGGCACTGTCGTAAAGTCAAAGAAAATGAAACTGGTAAAATAGAAAATGAATGGATGGAGTTACTAATATGTTAATTTCTCACTTAATATGGAAACTAGATGACCAAAACGATGCCTCATGAACCATTTGCTGTATTTTTAACCCCACTAGATGGTGCTCTACGCTTGCTTTGGGGCAAGCTTTGACCCCTTTACTGAGCAGATAGCACCATCTAGTGGGGTCAAAAAATACAGCAAACGTTGTTTTGGCCATCACTAATAGCATCCAACCACGGCAGCCTAACCTGCGGAGCCACACACTACCTGTTTACACCACGTGGGCAACGCTAGCAAACTACAGTTCCTGAATATGGAACATCCAGGTCTCAGACAGGTACTACAGTCTGGTGCCAGAATGCAGGCTGGTTTAGTAAGGAGGAATTAAGTTAATCCTAGCAACCACCTCTTTAAAGCCTAGAGCAATCCATCCTACTCAAATACTAAAGAAAAAATCTCCTCTGTTTCACAGCCTGTGATTTCTACCCATTTCATTTCATGGCTGAAGCGACAATGTGGACCAGAGCATTGAGAAGGAGACACAGAGATGCACCAGCACAGATCCACAGTGATTTTACAAAGCAACTAGTTAGAGCAAAGAGTGTTTTTACATCATCAAAAAAATACAATAAGTTCTAGCCGTGAGCACCTGAACCCATGCAGGACTCCATGACTGAGAATTATGGGCAGCGCACAGCAGAAGCAGACCAGTCATCTAAAAAGTCACATTTCCCCCTCTTAATTATCTTCCTTCTCGGGTTCCTCGTCCTTTGCTGTGTCTTCCTTGAGTTCTGCCTCCTTCTTGGCCTCATCCTTCGACTCCTCCTCCTTATTGGGTTCTGGCAGAAGGATCACCTTGCCGATGTTGAGTCGCTCCTGCATACGTCTCATAGCGTCGCCCACCTGTGCCATTGGGAGAAGAGGTTTTTGGAGAGAGCGGAAAGGGGGAGAGATGGGGAATAAAAAACAAAAGCATAATGGATGAGCAGGGTGACTGGACATCATTTTTCTCCCCCTGTCCCAACATTAACCAGATAACCCCAAGCATGACTCTCAACTGTGCATGTGTGTATGTCTGAAAATGAGCAAAATGGGATGAGTGAGAAGAAACATTCCAATATTCTTCAATTTAGTAAAAAAAAAAAAAAAAAAAAAAAAAAAGCATAATTTCAAGAATCCTGCGAGGAGGAGGTACTGACAGCTACTGATAAATTTTGCCGAGTGGGGGGGGGCTGATGAAAAAACACACATATAAACTTTATCTTAGAATATTCAGAAAATCATCTCACACCTCTACAGTCTGAGAACTGCTAACCGGTATAATGCTCCTGTACAGGCTGAAGAAAATTAGAAAATATGCTTAGATGGCTTAGATGACTGTGTTCATGAGATGTCCTCTACTGCCACCTATCGCTGCTGCTTCAGTTTAAGGGTGATTTGTCTGAGGTGTATCAAGTGTAAATTCTCATCCACATGTTCTTCTATAGTGGTAATAAGATCCATTAAAGATAAAACAAGAGTGATAAGATCAAATAGATTTCTGTTCAAGGTGACGATAAACATCACTAATCTAGTTTAGCATTTACACTTGCTGGTCAATCTCTCCATCTTTGCTCACCTGCTCGAAGTGGTGGACGGAGTCCACACGTGGCTTTATCTTGCCTTGCTTATACAGCTCCAGCAGCTTGCCCACCACCTCCTCAAAGACCTCACGCTCCTTGTAGAGGTACCCCAAGTGGAAGCCACACACCACCTTGTTGGACTGCATAAGAGCCATGGCCTTGATAGAGAACTCGTTGTACCACATTTTGGCCAAAGCCATCCGGTTCTTCTTTGGACCCGTCAGTGCATTGGCAAAGCCTGGTGAGGACAGTGAGGAACATTAGAATCATCTCTGTTCACCAAGCAATATCACAATTCGATCAGAATTCTAAACAGACAAGGACAGTAAAGCAGAAGGCAGAGTTGTACGACACACTTAAGATAATTTTAAATATATACATAAAATGTCATAACTCTACAATATACATTTACAATATACTGTACATTTGGAGTGAAACATATTTTAACTAAGCACTTATTCTTAATTAGTTCAAAAAGCTTGGACAAGCTGAATGTTTAAACCAATTAGACTCAGAATATGCCATCAGTGTATGCAATTACTCCAATGGATATTTAATGATTTTCTGGAACCAGCTGAGTAAAGTTGACTTGATGACCTGGAATCCAACAAAAATGAATACTAATATTCTGTTTAGCTAGCTTGGTCAACATTTTTACAATGGTGTAATACTAAAAGAGGCCTTCTGTTGCTCATGTTCAATATAATCGAGCGCCAACAGAAGGGCACCAGAATCCGATGTAAAAATTGAGCTTTCTGGTATGTCAATACCAACATGCAGTTGTTCAATTATCACCACAGCAGAGACACAAGAGTCAGTTTTTGGACTGTCTGCAGAAATTGAAACATGACATGGAAACTTTCCCTAACATCCAAATATTGCTCATGGTAAGTGTTGGGTTGAATCTGGGACTTTTTGTTCCTTGATAGGCCCAGGACTGCATTTGCTTTCTTCAGGTCCTGGGGAGGGATGCTATAGATGTGCGTCTGGTCTAGGATGCTCAGGTCCATATTTAGGTGATCCAGATGAGGTCTAGATCCTTGATTCTAAAGGTTGAATATACTTAAGTCTATAATAATTCAGATTTGAATGTTTCTGGTTGGAAACTGCAAAGTAAGCTGGATCTGAAGACTTCAGCCAACCACCACAGTTCAGCAAAATTAACTGTAAAACCACAGTTCCACTGCATCATACAATTCCAAAACCAAGTGGGTAAAACTGGTAAAGTTGCCCAAGTCTTGCCTTTTTGAGAACAAGCAACATTACTCATTTCTACATCCCTAAATTTGCTGAGTCTTTGAATAATCATCTTGACTTGCTTTTGTTGTAGTTGATGTTCTTTTATTAGTTTGGTTTTGACTAGTCTGGAACTGGCCTGGTACAGTCTGACTTTGAGAACTTGCAGTCGTAGTTCTTGTAATAGAAGAACTCTTACTAATACTAACCGACTGAAGTCTATCTTTGGTGACAGGTCAGGTCTGTCTGGTGCTCAATTATTCAGACTGATTTTTTTGTCACAGAAGCAGCGGTTTTGGTCAAACGAAAAGATGGATACATCTCCAATTTTTTAGCTTCAGAGTAGCTCACTTTTTTCACGCGTTTAAGTTTTTGTGGTTCTTTTTTCTTGATCCATCCCATCCATTCAATTTTCATTCTTACCATAAGTAACAAGTCTGCCCATGGGCTTCAGCAGGTCGAAGCCTTGCTGGACGTCAGAGCCTCCCAGAGGGTCCAGGACAATGTCCAGACCTTTGGAATGATGAGAGAAGAATGAGGAGGTGATACTAGAGGAACTATATGTGTAACTATCAGGTCACAGTCCTCTCACCCTGTGCTTAAGCATTTTTAAACAAAAAAAATGCATAAATAAAACAGGAAATACTGCAGAACAAAGGGCATATTTTGTAGATACTGTAGTCATTATGAATTATACATTATTATAGTTGTAGCTTATTTATTGGTAGCAATTTAATGTTTACCCAGCTGAACTGTTTCTACTTTACTAAATATTCTAGATCATTTTCTGAAACAGAAAAATTTTCAAAACTTCATGTGAAGTCTATTTATACTGTTCAGCTAATACTAGATTTTACTGTACCTGCAAAAGGCCAAAACTCGTAAAACTGTACAAAAGTCTTAGGGAGCCATAGTAAACTTTTAAAGTTATTCATCTGGGTATCTTCCTTCTCACTATAACCACTGCTGAAGGTGTATAGAACATGAATATTTTTATGCTAGCTGTTTTAGATGCTAAAGCCTGTCTTCAGTGATTGGCCACCTTCCCTTAGGGAGGAGCTCATTGGTCATCAGACAAGGAATTCAAACAAACTGGCCATCCCAAGGTATCAGACATATGAGATCACCAATCCTCAATATGTGCAGACTCCTAAATGACAGCAGAGTTTACTTTTTAGAGCTGAGAAATCAGAATTTTAGCTTAATGACAGCAGTAATGTTTTATTGCAACAGCAAAATAATTCAGCATTTTTAAAGGACAATGGTCTTTATGAACCTGTTTTATTGCCAGCATGCATGTGTCCTCACTGGCAGTATGCCTACCACATACTGTTAATACCAATAAATCATTATTGAACTAAATCAGCGGAACTGAAATATGGTAACGATTGTGGAATGCCTTGACAGTAGCTTCACCTTTGGGGCTGATCTTGCGGATGTCGTCCACGTAGCTCTGGTACTCGATGGGGTGAGTGACTCCGCCCTGCCTGATGGCTTCATGCTTACTGGCTGACGCCGTTCCGAAGAGAGTCACACCCTCTACCAACTTGCAGAGCTGTGTGACCGCGGTGCCAACACCACCTGAGGAGGGGCAGTAATGACCGGGGGAGATGCAAGACCAAAAAGACACCCAAAATGTGCATACATAACTTTTTACGCAAAATCCCAAATTCATTAAACAAAACCTGATGGGGAAAAATGCATACATTTCCGGAGACTCAGGAGTTGCACACATCATCTTGCTCAAATTGGAAAACGGTGACACCCATTGTAAAGCAGGGAACTGCAGGTTATTAGCATGTGCATGCCAACAATTCATACCATCAACTCAGACCTTGACATGACAGTACATCTAAAAACGTGAACTGGGATGTGGGTTGACACGCATTGGCAGTGACCTCTGCTGACCAAATGGGAACATAACAGACAGGAATCACAACACAAATACTGTCTTGTCACCTCTTCCAATGAATCAAAAGTGTATGTAGTTGTCACTAGTTGCATTAAAGGTGAATTAGTCAAAGATTTGCATTAACGGGTCAATGTATGAAAAAAAAATTAGTCATGAGAATTTCGTACAGCATAATGGAGTCTTGCTTTGCATTAGGTGAACAGAAAGATTAGAAGGGAAGGTAGTTTTCACGGACCACCAAGATTATTTTTACCCATTTATTTATTGTTTGCACTATAAGAAATGTCCTCGCAATTTGCACTCGCGCATGCATGCATCCTCTACTCCGACTCTCTTTTTCTCATTCCATCTCCCCAAGACAACAGCAATATGATTTAGCCATTACACCCAGTGACAGCTGAAATCCTACTGGGCCAAAACCCAGGGCAAAGACAAAATCAGGTAGAGAAGGGAAAGAAATTGCACCATGTAATAATTCATCCAAGGACTGGGACACCCCAAAACAAATAGTTACAATATGGAGGCAAAAAATTCAAAGACCTGGGCCGGTAATGCATAAAACTTCTCAGAGTAAAATTTCTCTCTTAAATGCGTCACAATTCTAAGAGTGATGTGATTTTGCTCTTACTCTCAGACTTAAGAGTAAGTGGCATGTATAAAAGTTCATATGTGTTAAGACTTGGTCTCAGCTCCTAAATGATTTAAGAGAGCTGGAGAGGACTCCTAAGCCAGTTAGGAGTTGCTCGATGGCAGCTGCGCTACGCGCACCCAGACGGAGACCGCGCACTTTCCGTCAAAGAAAGGACGTCCTGCAGACGTACGACAATAATGAGTTGATAAAAAGGTACAGGCTCGATCATGAAGGCGTTCTTTTTGTTACCAACCTAATTAGGAACCGGATACAATCTCCTACGTCACCTAAAAATGCACTTACAGTTGAACTGAAGGTGATGATGCTGTTACTTTTTTGGCAACTGGAAAAAACATAATGATGATAATAATAATAATAATAATGATCATCATCATCTATTATAGCGAGGGTCATGAGAGCAATATAAGTAATGACACAAACCCGTAGATTGCATGCTTGCTTTATAAACTGTGATTTCCTTTCGCGAGGTTGATAAAACATTATACCACCTTTTTTCACATTCCTCTGCTGAACGCCTTGTCCGAGGTGTCGCAGCACGTACGGAGCTTGCAATAGCCTCCTAAGCTTTTTTTGTCCGTGCTTGTAACAGCTGGGCCAAACTTTCCTCGCACTACCTCCTTCCATTTAAGCACCAACTGTGCCAAAAGAATCGTTTCGTTTGTTGTCCAGTTTGGTTTTCTTTTAGAATCCATTGGCGTGCTATGAATTTTGTGTTTGACCCATAATAAATACATGTGCATTTACATCTTTATACAATGCTCTTAGGTCCTACTTGTTGCTAAGATTTTTTTAACTCTTAAGTCAAAGTGTACGACCATTCTTAAGAAGTTTTATGCATATTGATGGATAGAAACATATGTTCAGCAATAAGAAAAACCTGTGCAGCTGTATTTGTTTGGGTGAAGATGTTATGAGATCTTATGGCTGCAAAAGGCAGGGACAGCCAGCATGATTTTAGTGCCATCTTCTTCCGTGAAAGGAGGAAAGGACATTTTGAACTAGCTCCACTTCTGTTAAAATCGAACATCCATCCACAGAACAGCCAGAACTTTCCAAGCAATGTATTCACATTTATTTATTTAGCAGGCACTGTTATTCAAAGCAACACAAAACTGACAAAGCAGGGTCGACCAGTCGCTGGAGAAAATGGGCTTAAATCACTCCAATCAGAGGCATAGAGTTCTAACCCGCAGAGCCAAACACCTCCCAGCGTAAAAGAAATAGCTCACGGTAAAATAACAGCATGGGGCTTCGCGTTTAAAGGGTTCCCATCAAGAAGGGAGAGGTAGGACAGAGAGGGACAGCATGCAGAAAAAGAGAGATTAAGGGATATGGAGGGACACCTTAATTAAATGTCAAACTGCTCCACAGCTATTCAGCACTTCAATTAATGGATAGAAACATTTCACTCAGCTTCAGCACTGCTAAGCTTTCTTCAGTCATAATGTGCACATTGCTAATGACTAATCCTGAGTTCCTTTGCAGCTATTCACTCATTCTCAATGCAAACCCAGGCGGCCCCCATACATGTCTGCATGCTCCACTCAAATACACGACACACACACACACACACACACACACACACCTTTCATTTCTCTATCACCAGACATGGTTCTCCAACTTTGACTGGATGGACATTTGCAGTTGCTAAATTTTAGAACGATCACTCCATGGGTAATTATGACACATGCCGAATGACAAAGCGCTCCTCAAACACCAGGTGGCGCAATTTTCAGCAGCGCTATGGACCTTTTTGGCTCTCCTTACCTGCCGCCATGTGCACCAGCACACTCTGATGGGGCTGCAGGTTGGCAAATTTGAAGAGCAGCAGGTAGGCAGTCATGTAGTTGACAGGAAAGGCAGCAGCCTCCTCGAAGCTTATCCCCTCCGGCATGGTGAAAGTATACTGAGCGCCCGTTAGCACCACTTCCTGCCACAGCCCATAAGCGTTCACAGCAAACACCTTGTCTCCCACCTGAAAACAGAGAAATCGGTGGGTGGGGGATGAGGGCCATTGATCATTATCATCCTCAAAATGCGCTGAATTGCTGAGCTAAGGCAGGGAACAACCTAGCATGTGGTGCCAACCCATCACAGGGCACACTCACACACCATTCACTCACTCACACACACACCTACAGGCAATTTGGTAACTTCAATTAGCCTCAGCATGTTTTTGGACTGTGGGTGGAAACCGGAGAATCCTAACCCTAACCCTAACCCTAACCCAGGGACAGTGCGAACCACATCATCACCGTGCTGCCCCCATAATTGTAGAAAACATGTTAAATACAAGCGAAGGCTAGAGTACTCTGACCATGTCAAAGATTGGACTTCTTTCGTGTTAGCCTAATCTAACCCATTTAGTGTAACTCACATTTCACATAATGCCATTAATACAAAATAATAAACAGATTATGAAGGGGACAGTATCAGTAATAGGGTCCATAGAAACATTTCAAAGGCAAATCTGGAAATCAGAACAAGTGTACTTGTAAAAAACTTAGCTACAGCACTGCGCTAAAACGTGTACGTCAGCGTCTGCTCACAGCAGGAGACTGCATGACGGTGCAGAGAGGAGCAACTGAGCTGCACTGCATCTCAATGTGAAGTTAATGTAGTAATTAATGTAATTTAAGCTAAACTGACAATGTCTTGTATGCAAATGGTGACAATAAGAGTGTGTTACCTTAATGTTAGACAAAAGTAGACTAAACTCGCTCACTAAACGGTGTTCAAAGAGGTGATCTTCAGGAGCATTTTAGATTTAATGAGCTAGCTTTCGTTTTATTAAAAATAGCTGCCACACACTGGTGTATCTGAATCCGTAACCAGTATCCAGAGGGGACTGTAGGGCTAGAGCGCAGCTTTTCAGCTTGGAAAAATCACCTCAACTGTGGCAAATGACCACATGAGGAATCTAGCATTGAGAACGAGCATGCAAAAGCATTTAATTTGGATATATATATTTTTTTCTGCACAGCACAACAACCATCTAGACCAGCCAGACACTCTCCAAAGACCACAGAAATCTGTAATGCAACTCTCACAATTTGAAATGCTATCACACAGTGCAGCACATACCGGTCCAAGGACTTTCTATTACCTTAAGACATTTGATCTTTGTTTTTCAGATTTGGTGGCTGCCTTTTGAAGACATTAGAGGTCCATGTTATAGTAGCCATTTAAGCTCACTGCATACTTATCTACAGAAACATCTACTTCCCCTCTAAAAAGCCTGCCTACTCATTTTGTTTTTTTTCCTGTTTTTCCAAGACGGGGCTCAGGGATGAAGGGCCAGACCAGCAGTGCAGGGCAGAAGCAGCTAACTGAGATATAGAAGGCTGACAGAGCTCACTCACACGCAGCGAAGAGAGAGCCGTTTAATGGAGTGCCAGATCGTCACTACAAACATATGAAAAGGGGGTTTGAGCTTTTACTAGAGGGGTCTGATTTAGTATAAATGAATGAGAAAACACTTTAAACCAATTACTGTAGATTCTCTTTTTTTTTGGGGGGGGGGGGTATCTAAAGACATCTTGCCCACCCCCCCATACAGCTTTAGTGGTGTTCACGGTAGTGGGTGCCCCAGGGGTCTGAGGTCCCCTTTTCATTATAGACCATCATCAAAAATTTGCGACAATTTACCGAGGACCCACCCGTTAGCAAACTTTACCCAGAGGACCCGCCCCATAGCCTCCCTATGTATTCCAGTATTAATAATCAATTTACTAGTACAGTGGTACCTCAGTTCTCGAACTCATTAGAACTCGAATTTCTTAAAAGTCGAACCAACCAGTTCGAAAAAAAAATACCTAGAGCTTGATCTGAATCTCAGAAGTCAAACCGTGAACGCAGATAACTTGAAGATAACTTGTACGCGCGGTGAAATGAGTCACGCAGCATATCTCTCAGCGGAAACAAAGGGTAATGCCTTAGTCTCAGCCTCGATTAGCTGTGATAGCATCGCGCATGTTTACGCTAACTGAATGCATATATTTACACAGTAAAAATACATTTAGACAATGATAGACAGTAACAGTAATTATTATTATACAATAAAACACATTTTAAAATAAAGATTTCTTATTATTTTAATATTATCAATAAACCATTAATACGTTTAATTATAATAATATTGTTGTGCCGAGCGTGGACAGAACGGAGACAAAGGCGCAGACGTCAGGGTATCGGGGAATACTGGGTTCAATTATAGGTAAGGCAGGCAAAATGCAGACGGACAATACAATGACCGGACTGGGGAAAAAACTGAAACGCGGACGAAATACAGAGGACTAATGAGAACAACCAGAAACAGCTGATCACACGGGGATTCCACACGGGGTTAACGAGGGGGCGTGGCACACGGAAGGAGCGGACGATCCGGGCAGGAGACATTGTTTGGATACATTTATTTTCTTACTTTACAAATTACTGTTTTGATAAATGTGCTTAGATGTGTTTAGTACAGTATATGCTCTTCTTGTTTTATCCGGTTCATTTTTGCGTTTAAATGCTATAAAAGACATATTTAGGTGTAATTTTTTGGGGCCGGTGTTGTGTCGATATATGCTGCCTTGTCGAAAAATGCTACCGTAGTGCTAATCGATAGCCCTAACCCTAACTCTTACCCTAACCACCCCAAAACCCCTAAAACCCTTACCTTAACCCTAACCTCTAAAACCTAACCCTAATCCCAAAACGGTGGAACTGCACATGCGCAGAAAGGCTCGATAGCACGTCTCGATAGGTAGTATTTTATGACAGAACACCTGTTACCAATTAATTGGTTTTCCATTATTTCTTATGGGGAAAATTCGATCATAACTCGAACTTTTTAGGATTCAGAGTTCTGAACGGATTAAATTCGAGTTCTGAGGTACCACTGTATTTCGTTGTCTTCATCAGTCTCACTATCTCATCGTTGTATTCACGGATGAGACGAGAGGAGGAAACTAGAAGTATTGAGACTTTCTGTAAAGTTCAGATCGCCAGAGGTTTGTGACTCCTTGCAGCCACAGATCACATGACACCAACAGCATATGGTTTGTCAATTGTAAGCACACTCCACGAGAATTTCAGATGATTTGTGTTTGGTACAATTTTTGCACGTGGCACGGTTTCAGTGGTTAACCGTTTGATCTATGGTTAATCTGATCGCACAGTGTGTCAAGCACACGGAGACAAGCAAGATACATTCGCTTTTACATACAGCATCCACTTTGCTGGCAACAAATTAGATCGCTGATGTATCCTGATTTTGTTACGTAAAGCACCTTTTGTGTTTCTTTTTCGGTACCACTTTACAATGAGGCTCCCTTTTGCAACTTGTAAATGGTAGTAATTCATTAATAAAAAGAAAACTGTGCTATAACTTGCTTAAAATTGTCTATTAATAATTTACAAAGTATTACAACCTATAGTTAGTAACCAGATTATAAACCATTCACAAACTCTTTATACGGGTAGACTTATTGTGAAGTGGCACCCCTTTTTCTTTCCCCAGATAATTTATTATTGCATCTTTGGCTTATGACTTTGATATTTTTTGTTTTCGTAGGCTATATGTTTATAATATATTTGTTTTGAAAAGTTATTTTTGAGTAAACAAATTTGTGGCACTGCTGTGTCAGGGGCCCAAAATATCGACCAGGGGCGTAGCACGACAATATGTGGATTAGGAGGTTGACGATAAAAATAGAGTTGAAAGAGGACTCACCTTCCTCCCCGTCACTCCTTCACCCACAGCCTCCACCACCCCGGCGCACTCCATTCCGAGAGTGATCGGTGGGGGCGGCAGCCGCTCGTACAGACCCTGCCTGGCCACTAGGTCCGCGAAGTTCAGCCCGCATGCTTTGACGCGGATCATCACCTCTCCCTTCTTCGGGACGGGCATCCCCTGCATAACCTGTAGCTTTACTTTATCGTAGCCACCGTAGCCGCAGAGTACTAAGGAGCGATAGGTGAAGGCGTCTTCGTCAGCCTCCGGGCTGGCAGCAGCTGTGTCGGAGGATGGCTGCGACTCTTTCTCATTAGGCTCCTTGCTCAGTTCAGTTTCTTGCATTTGCTCCTCCGCTTTATGCTGCAGCGCAGATGCTTCTTCAGCAGACATAGTAATAAATTCTTCTTCTGACTGCAAACAACCGAAACTTTCCGTCCCTAACTTTTTCTAACTTCGCCCTGTAATTCACTCTGGTAATAGCTTTGGCCGTAAACAGTTACTGAAGCCCCAGGCTCCGCCCCTGCACTTAGGAGGCGGTCGACCGTCGTTCACGCTTTCTTCCCGTATGAAAGCGGAACAATATTGCTAACTTTGGCAGGGGCGGTTCTGAGGGGGGTGGCATTGCCCCCCTTAAATACGTATGCTACTTGGGACTGAAATAAATGTATGATTATTATTATTTGCATTCATATATGTGAGCTAAAATTTTGCTTGCTGGGGACACGCGAAACACAAACGTAAGCACATATTTTCTTTTAACCGCAAAGCCTTGCATAAGTAACATCCGTTTTCAAAATTTTGCTTTGTTAATACTGGCAATCTAGTGTAAGTGATACTTGGAGGACATGAAGATCAAATGCATCTGCCCCCCCTAACAGAACAACTGGCCCCATTTGCCCACCCCCGAATAGTCTAAAACCTTCACTGAACTTTAGTCAGCTGACTGGAGTGAGATTTTCAATTCAAGATAAGTCTGCCCACACATACAGGCTTACATGTATGTAACAGTATTATTACCTTGCAAATAGTCTGTATAGTTACCAAACCCTAGGCTCTCCATACCTAGTTTAGATATTTTATTCTAGTATTTTATTATTATTTTATCTATTTACTGTTTAGTAGTCACGCTGCGTACACCGAGACCTGAAACTGTTTCGTTCTTATCATGTCAAGTGGTTTGAATGACAATAAAGCTGATTCTGATTCTGAAACTACCCCAATTCTTTTGATGTAGCTCATTTTAAGTTTATTTGGAATAATATAGATTTGCCGTAAGATTTCTTGTGTCAGCATGAGAGCATGAGGGCTACTCTAAGCTGAAAATCTAGGGGATGGAGGAGCTGGGGCTGGCTGGAGCCCCAAGTGGTGGAGCCTCCAGTGGCTTACCACCTCCACCTGACTCGCAGATCCATCTATGCTTGCTCCCACATTTCTCTGCCTGATAAGCTGGACAGCCTGACCGCATCCACTTTCCCGAAGATGTATGTGTATTGTATTCTCTGAATGCAGTCAGACTACTGTCTGCATACCAGGCAGAGATCTTGGAGAAAATGGGCCAGCAGGTAGACTCAGGGATACCAAGCCTGGTCCTTTGGGATGAGATCTGCGTGATGATGCTTCATGCATCGACATTTGCTGTGTTATCTGACACCACTAGATGGTACTCTCTATGCAAAAAAGGGCTCAATGCGTGCCCCAAAGCAAACCAATAGCACCATTTGGTGGGGGCCAAAAACATAGTAAATGCTTAATGAAGCTTCATTTGGCCATCTTTAGAGATTGCATCATTGCTGCCACGAGCAATCAGAGTTGTGTCATGCCCCACTCGTCCGATCCTCCCGTGTGCCACGCCCCCTCATCTACCCCGTGTGGAATCCCCGTGTTTAACAGCTGTTTCTTGTTGCTGTCATTAGTCCAATGTATTTAAGTCCACGTTTAAGTATGTTTCCCCAGTCCGGTCATTGATGTTGCTGATGTTATTGTGTGTTTTGGAGTGTGTCAGCCCGGAATAAACCCCGTTCATTTGTCTCCATGGCTCCCTTCACCTGTTTCTCTGTTGTGGACGTGACAGAATGACCGGACTCCAAAGGAAGACGCCTCCCCTGACCGAGAAGTACCTCGGTCTTACAAACGAGGTAATCTACTGGCTTGATCAGCCCAAAGTCCAGGACAATCCCATATTTCAGGCTCTAGCCCACCGGAGCAGGCACATCTTGGAAGAGATGTCCCAGCCCAAAGACGCGCACCTCACGCAGGAGGTGCGTGAAAGCCTGTGGCGGCTGAGATGTGGGGTGGTGGAATCTAACCTGCGACAGGTAGCGTGGGACAGCGGTCTTCCATACGGTCCGCTATCAGAGCTGCCCCCAGCCCCCATGACCCCAGTCCCTGTCCCCGAGGAGGTCCCGGGCTATCAGATCACCGCTCCTTCCCCCTTGGTGGAGAAGGAGCTCGAATGGGACCCCTCAGGGATTTCCCTGATGGCCCCACTGGACCCCTCCGGTGGAGTACCCCAGCCACCACCCCAGTGTGGCAGATCCCGGCCAGGTCCCTGCCTCTCAGTCTCCCGGAAAGGGAGAGGACACCTGTGCCATAGTCAGGTCCCACCCTCCCTGCCCCTTGGCTCGCCTATGGTCCCCCCAGCTTTGGGTCAGCGGTCGCCTGCGGGTCCTCCGGCTCTGGCTCGGCAGTCGCCTGCGGTCCCCCTGGGTTCGGCTCAAGGGTCGCCCACGGTTCTGCTCGTGGTGCCTTGTCGGGTCCCTCGTCATCGACTCGTGGGTCGCCTGCACCTTGGCAGGCTGTGGCTACACCTTTGCCTGCCGCAGTTTCTGTTCCCTCCTCCCCTCCACCAGTACCCCTCTGCCTTCCTTCTCGCCACCTTTGCCATTCCCTCCACCTACCTCCTCGCCCCCTCCGACATTCCCTCCTGCTTCCTCCTCGTGCTCGCCGAGGGTCCCTCATGCTCCGGCCTCGTGGTGGCCTGCTGCCCCTGCCACTTTCGCCTCTTGCCTGCCGGGGTTCCCACCGGCTCCTCGTTTCCCCCCGCCCTGTGCCTCCTTGCCCCCTGCCTTTGTGCCCCCTGTGTTTGCTCCTCGTCCCTCTATGCCATTGTTCCCTTCTGTTCCCCGTGTGCCCCCTGGTGTTGTCCCTCCGTTGTCCCCTTTTGTGTAACTGGGTCTTGTGTTTCCATCTCTATTGTCTCTTTGTCTATCTGCGTTCCCTGTCATGTGTTGGTTGTTATTTGAGTTGTCCTCCTGTGTGTCCGTATTGTTCCCAGTAGTGAGTTAATGTTATTGCTTTTGTTCCCCCAGGTGCCATCCCGTTGTGCCCTGCATTCCTTGTGTTGCCCCTTCACTCCCCTTAGGTATGCCCAGAGTGCGCACCTTTGGGAGGGGGTTTATGCTCCACTTGTCCGATCGTCCCATGTGCCACGCCCCCTCATCTATTCCATCTGGAATCCTCCTGTTTACCAGCTGTTTCTTGTTGCTGTCATTAGTCCAATGTATTTAAGTCCACGTTTAAGTATGTTTCCCCAGTCTGGTCATTGATGTTACTGATGTTATTGTGTGTTTTGGAGTGTGTCAGCCCGGAATAAACCCTGTTCATTCGTCTCCACGGCTCCCTTCACCTGTTTTCCTGTTGTGGACGTGACAGATGTCCTGGAAAGGGAAAGCCAGTAGGGCTTCTACTGCTGTAACTTTGTCATTAAAAAAAAGAGGGCTCATCTCTTCACTCTGTTTTGGATCTCTGTGCATTAAACAGTCATCTCCGGAAGTACACTTTCAGGATGTTAACACACAAAACCCTCTGTCAGTTGATTCTTACAGGTAGTTCGAATGATCGATCTGTCAGATGCCTATTTTCACATAGACATCTATCCTCCACACAGGAACTTCCTCAGGTTTGCATTCCAAAGGCACAGCCTACAAGTATCAGCGGATCACATTCGGAGGTTGTTCAGCAAGTGTGTGGAGGTGGCTCTTGGGCCATTATGGCATCAGGATATTCTCCTACATATTCGACTATTTAATATGTTCTTGTTTGAAGGAGCAAGCAATCAGAGATTCCAAAATGCTTTGGACTCATTTCATGGATCTGGGATTCAGGATCAATATGGAAAAGAGCCGTCTGATCGCTTTGCAGCTCATGGAATACTTGGGTCTCCACAATGACTCCCTCTCCTGTCGGGTAACAGCGGAGAGGAGGATAGTGTATTCCACGCAATATCTTGCCCGCTTTCAGTTAGGGTAAGTGGTTTCAACCAGCCTGCGTCTGCTAAGACTCATGGTGTCAGTGATATCATGGTGCATTTAGGTCTCCTCATGATAAGGCACTTTCAGTGCTGGGTGGCGCAGTTACATCTTTGCCCTCTCCGTTATTTTGGCCGGCTGGTAAAGGTGACTTTGGCGTGTGTGAGGGCACTTCGCTAGTGGAGAATCTCGACTGCTGTCATGTCGGGCACCCCTTTAGGGGTGGTGTCCCCAAGAGTGACGCTGAGAACAGATGGGTCCCAGTCGGGGTGGGATGCAACCATGATGGGCAGGGCTGTGAATGGTGTGCCCCCCCCCCCCCCATATAGATGTAATGCGCATAAATTACTTGAAACTGCATGCAGTGTTTCTAGCACTCAAATACTTCCAGTGCTTTCTCCAAAGCTGACATGTTCTGGTGAAGTTGGACAATTCGAAGGTGGTGGCTTGTATCAGTCGTCAGGGCGGCACTCGCTCTCTGCAGCTGCATCAGTTAGCTAGGAAGCTGATCATGTGGTACAGCACCCAGTTCTTGTTGCTCCATACGATGTAGGTGGTGGGTGTTCTGAACAGGGGGGCAGATCTGTTGTCCAGAGGAAACCCGCCCTCTATGAAGAGTGAAGGTAGTTGAGCAGATATGGCAGAGATATGGATGGTGTCACAGAACAGAACACACTGGAAACAGGAGATTCTTGCAGGTGGGGAGGTTTATTCGGGCAGAGGTGACCAGAGTCAGAAGGGGCAATCCAGAGATGGAAACGGGGCACGAAGCAAGAGGTCGGAGAAGCCAGGGAAGTTAAGCCGTGGGTTGTCACCAGACGAGGGGAAGGAGAAGACAGGCAGGATCTGGGGAAGCGGAGAGGAATGGGAGCACCACGAGAGGACTGAACTAGGGCTGTACAGAAGACAAAGAGAAAGCGCTCAGTAAGTTGCATTGAAACCAACAGTGCCTCACGTTGTAGCAACACGAGGTGAGTCTATTTATTAACGCTTCTTCAGGTGTGGGTGATTTCCCGTTGATTAGCTGGTGCACTTTGCATGTTGGGGTTGTGGTCGGGGTGTGACAGATGGGCAACCATAGATCTCTTTGCCTTGCAGGAAAATGCTCAGTGTCCGCTGTACTTTTCCCTGTTGGATGTAAATGCACCATTAGGTGTGGATGCTCTAGCCCACCCGTGGCCAAACACCCTCCTCCAGTCTAATTTTCTTCCACATTTAATCAGGGTGAGGGAGCAGGGCCTGTGCACCCGTAGCTTGGCTTGCTTCCCCTCATTGAGGCCCTCGCTGGTCTGCTAATACAGGGATCCAATGAACGCCATGTTTGCCATTGTGGCTGTGTTGGGGAG